CGCCAATTAACTGTCCTTCTACAAAAAGTGGGTTCAACAGATATTGTGGTACTTGGCTGAGACTTGAATGCTCAGGTCGAGCGACTCGGCACATAAAAGAGTCGTTTGGGTAACCAATGGGAACTTTTTGGTCACAGGTCAAATAGCAGTGACTGTCTACCGTATCTGTGCTCAGACTAAAACCTGATTCTGGCTAGCACCAACAACCGTCACAGTCATCACTGATGTGCTAAATGGCGTCTTCGCTCTTAATCTCAGATTTGGGCTCGGATTGATCACATCGCGATCAGCTACCGCTGGCGTGGTTGTGTACAAACCTGCCGCTCGTTATGGAGTACCTAAGTGGACTCTGACCACGCCCACTCTTGTTTGCACCAACCTCACCCTACTTTTCAGCGGACAATAAATTCATCGTACTAAACCGACAGATGTCAGTAAACTGCTTGCAGTTTCTGTTGCAACTAAATATCAAACCAAGCTAGGTTCAAGGATAGTTACCATCCCACCGAAAAATACAGGTCGGCATTGATTGCAATCGTATGACGCCATGAAAGTGGAGAGTTAGTTGTTTGTGGCTTTGCGAAACATCTCGGTTTCGGGCACTGGGTTTCATCAGTTTGCTTACAGTTCATTGGAGCCTGTCGGTCTACTCCGTATGACTGCGAGTTTGACTACAAACGAAGGCTGTTACGTAATTAAACTGAGAAAACCATGCTCAAGGATCGAGAAGCCCGGTATTTGGAGCCGGCCAATGAGCTGGAAGCAGCAGCTGTGTCTGGTAACCGACGGAAGCTCTTCTAACCCATCTGAGTCACTGGTAGCAAGAAGTATGGTGTTTGTGAAACAATCTGTAAAGATTGATTTTTTGCTGGCCGAGGATATGTCGATATTTTCACCTTACGCCAAAGGTTAGAACACTGTCATATTCACTAGAGGCGAACAATTGTATTGTTTCCTCACATTAGGGCCGCCTTCGACCCGTTGGAAAGTACTGTTTTCTGAGATTGTCTATTGAATAAGAGCGTGCCTGAAAAGAGTACTAACATCTCAAAAGCCCCATATACAAACACAGACAGGATGAGGGCACTTAACCATCTCTTTCTATTCAAGCATTGAAGTAAGACGGAGTTGCTCATCACACTACTCCTCTCCAACTTTGCCATCGATGATGTTCTGGAAACAGCTTTGATGGATCCAGGTAATGGTGTTGATACGGTATATGTTTTGCACCTTCCAAGTTCAAAGTACTTTTACGAGACTGATAGGACCCTGATCATGCACCCACTTTGGGTAGTGAGCAGATAGTAGTCAAGAAGTTCATGTGTTTGAGTAGCTTCATAAGTGCTGATGGTTGTGTGAGTGATGAGATCAATGCACGTATAGTGAAAGCCAGAACAGCTTATGCCAATCTGGGCCATCTTTGGCGCCTTCGTGATGTTATTCTGGCTGTAAAATGTCGGATCTACAACGCGTCGGTGAGAGCAGTTTTGCTCTATGCTTGTGAAACCTGGTCTCACCGGGTTGAAAATGTTAGACGACTTCCTGTGTTCGATCATCGTTGTCTCCGAAGGAGTGCTGACGTCCAGTGGCAACACCGTGTCAGTAATGCAGAGGTTCAGCATCATGTGATTATGCAGAATGACGATAATTCAGTAGGTGTTACCATCTTGAAACACCGACTTCAGTGGCTTGGAAATGTTCTACGAATGTAGTCGCAGAGAAATTCACGTCGTGCATTATTTGCCGACGTTTGAACTGTTTGGTAAAACCGGAGAGGTATGTGGTATGGCATTGTGGTATGAAAGAAATCAGTACGGGAATGTTTTCTATTGGTCCTTCATGACTCTCTGGTTGGCGTCCTAGAGATTGTGCAACACAATGGCTAGAAATGTTGTCAAGCGTGGCCAGTGGTGATGCTACCGTAACTATCTTCTACTTCATTCATAAAAGTGAACATAACCTCTTTGATCAAAAGAATTCTTTCTGATAGCACTTTTCCTAACTGAACTGCTTCTCCAATTATTATTATTTCACTGTCATACATTAATTTCCGTTCGTTATTGTTTCCCTTTTATTATACTAATTGTGTGGCGAATATGTATTTGGTGGCCCCATGTGCCGGTGTTTGTGTGTTTGAATAAATTGAAGAATTCTTTTCCTAATTTCCTGTTCAACTGAAAGCTGGCTTCTCTCCTACAGTAGACTGTTGCTGGTGGTATCCAACCAACGAACATTGAGTGTCTTGCATAGACAATTGTTCATAAATACTTGTACCTTTTTGGTGATTGTTGTGGTAGTTCTCGAAGTTTCATCTCCGTACAGTAGAGCTGTCTTGACGTTCGTATTAAAGATCTTATCTTTGATGTTGGCTGACAGTTGTCTCGGGTTCCATGTTTTTCAAATGCAGAAATGTCACCCTTTGTCAATGCTTGCATTCACATCTGCATCAGATGCTGCTTGTTAATCGATGGTGCTTCACAGATACATGAATGTTTTCACCTCTTCCAGAGTTTCTCCATCAAGTATGATTGGCTTGGTATTCTGTGTTGTATTTGAGGATTTTGCTTTTTCCCTTGTGTATGTTGAGTCCTACTGATGTAGAGGCCTATGGTACACTGTTTTTCTTGACCTGAATCTATTAGTGTGTGTGGTCTAGGATAGCTGTGTCATCTGCAAGGTCCAAACCGTTTAGTTACATCCAATCTGTTCATTGTATTCCTTGCTTCCTCTCAGATTAAAGATGCCACAAGTATTTAGGGTTTGACGACGCCTCATCCAGTAATGCGTTTTATAGTCGAAACGTGATAACTCAGTCAAATCAAAAGTTAGAAGTGAAGTTATATTGGATAGGTTATCGATATATCAAGAAGTGATCAATCTAAGCTGACTAGCGGTGGTAGATGTGGGGCACCGCGTACCCACTCGTGATCGGGCGCTAATACGTGGTCGAGTGCCTTACGGTAGAAGTGTGTACGGTGAAACGAATAAGGTTAAGATAATTGTTTGAGACCTAAAGAACTATTAATATCAAAGGTTTAATCACCGCTACAGAGATGTTATTTATGGCGGATATTTGACTGAATTCGGAATGTGAAGTTCAAGTAGCAACTTCTTGTTTTAAATATGAAGCGAATGTTTTAGAATGGGTTTAAAGATGAGGAATTAATCTATTAAAGGATCGTTCTGACCGGCTTCAGTTTCAGTTTCAGTTTGGGGAGGACAGGAGGCTTGATGGCCTATGTTAGTCCTGGCAATGGTGGTCTCTCAGTTGATCTAACTTTCTTTTGAAAGATGGAGCCTCAACCACGTGCTGAGATAGTGAATTCCACTCGTTGATGATTCGATAGGAAAGTCGATAGTCAGCTGACAAGTAATTTGTTGTCAGCTTGTGAACTTTTTTTGAGTGTCCTCGTAAATTCTCTGTTTTGGAAGACAAGAAAAATGAGGGCATATTAAGTGCAAATTTATCACTAAGCAATTTGTAAACTGTAATCAAGTCGCCTCTAGTTCTGCGATATGACAACAGAAAAAGGTTCAGCTTGGTCAGTCGAACTTCTTACGGAAGCTTCGCTTTTGCGGGAATCAGCTTAGTCGCCGTTCTCTGAACCTTTTCCAGCAGAGGCTAGCCGCTTGTATGGAGTACTCAAGTTTAGGACGTACGAACATTACATACAAAGTCAAAAACGTTTTAGCGTCGACATGACTAAAAGCTTCACGCATTGACCATAAGATTCTAAAATCTTTGGCGGCTATTGCACGGCAGTGTGCAGTAGTCTTTAAGTCTTGACTAACGATAACTCCTAAGTCATTATATGTCTGAACGACAGGTAGCTCAGTGTTATTCATCGTGTATGTATCTGTGCCTTGATGACCGATATGCATCACAACACACTTGGAAATATTTATCGGCAACTGCCAGGTTTGAGACCATTCAGATAACTTCTTCAGGTCATTTTGAAGTTCTAAGCTATCACTCTTACATCGTATCGTTCTCCATATCTTGACATCGTCAGCATATAGCAAGACCGATGAAATAGGAGACAATGAAGGTCATTTACATACAAAAGGAATAGCACTGGCCCCAAAATTGTACCCTGGGGCACTCCACTAAGCGCAGTTTCCCAGCTAGATAACTTTGAGTTCACCCTTACTCTTTGTTGACGCCCAACTAAGAAGTCTTTTATCCATATCAATAAATTGCCTCCAATCCCGACATTTCTTAACTTATATAACGGCCGGTTGTGAGAAACTTTGTCAAAAGCTTTACTGAAATCAATGAAGGTAGCTTTTGGTCCTTAAGAGCACACCAGCTTTCACGAGCCACTAATAAGCTAGTGAGACAAGAATAACCTATTCTGAAGCCGTGCTGCTTCTCCGACAGGATCCGGTTTTTCCCGAGATACTTAAACAGTTCCTTCCAAATAATCTTTTCTAAGATTTTAACAACCACACTAGTTAGGCTAACGGGGCGGTAGTTCTCAGGTTTGTGTTTCGTACCTGTTTTGAAGACAGGACTTACTATGGCGTTTTTCCAGTCTTTTGGTAAACGACATTGCGTAACGGATAGGTTAAAGCATGTACTTAAAGGGCTTGCAACGAAGTTAGATAATTCCTTCAGTAGCCTAGGATGTAATTCATCGGGCTCCGTGGACCGACTTTATAAAGATAGTGCTCTAGTGGTTAAGTGCTCGCGCGCGAAGCCAGTAGGTACTGGGTTCGAGCCCCGCGTGGTGCGGGATCGTGGATGCGCACTGCTGAGGAGTCCCATACCAGGACGAAACGGCCGTCCAGTGCTTCCAGGTTTTCAATGGTGGTCTAGCTTCAATTGACTCATAAAACCCATTCAGATAGAAATCTCTTTGAAATGTGGAAAATCCTGTATTGCTAAACTATCAGCGTAAAAAGTCATTTGGTTCATGTTATTTGATTACGATGATACAGCATCGTGCACATGTTAATGTGTGCCAATACTACAGTGCGAGTTTGACCTTCGCGATGACCTTCATAGCATGGTTTAAAGTCGTCTTGCTGTTATGATTTACCTTTGCAAGCATTGCTTATATTGTTACACTAAGACTTTTATACCCAGAAATATCTTTTTAAGCAGACGCTCTAGTTGACTAAACTGAACAGAGTCTGTATATACATGACTTTTTGAATGGGTAACTGAAAGCGCGCTGGTGGTATATTCGTGCAAAAACTAACAATTGTAAATCGTTACAATGGGATTTTATTTGATACCAGAGTCGGCGTAGAAGTATTAGTTATTGGCTTATGCACATGTACCAAATATGGTTAACTCCCATATTAGTCATCAAATTCTTACAATTCCCTACGAGTTTCCCAATGATAAACCCAAACACAAAGCCTGAGGTGGTAAATTTTATTTTTGCGAAAATGTCTAAACGAATTTTTTGATTATATAGATGTCGCTTCTAGCTAAAACATAGGTCATGGCATAAACTTTAAAAAACGTGACCCACATTCATTCTGCCACCATACAATCATGTTTTAACACCTACACTCATCAGGGCAGCAAGACTAGAATTTGTGGACGAACCAATCAGGTATAAGATAACAGGTCTCGGATTTCAACGCGAAATTCACCCATCTATTCGGCTAAATAGAGTTTTGGCTTTATAGCTGATGTCAGTTCGTGATGAAAACCCTAAATGTAATTCCTAGCTATAACCATCAACTGTAAATCATAATTCTAATTCCTCACACTGGTTGATAACTCTCACTTGACCCTAGTTATTAGGTGAAGACCCTCAAGGTCAGTTTAGCATAACTCAAAGGTCTACCATAAATTATAGTCTCACTGTGAGTTTTACACGTAAATGTTTAAGTACACTTTCTTGTATAACAACATTGTCTAGCTGAAGACTAGACATATTGGAATGTTGTCTCATATGGCCGTTACAAATTACCGATGCAACCATGCGTGAATTCATGCAATTAAGTAGTCAATCAGTCAGCTACAACGTAAAACCAGGCATATATATGCATCAGTTCAAGTTGATACAGGGAGAAAGAATTAGTTCGTATGAAGAAAGATATGAAGTAATTCTAACCTCACGGTTTAAGGGAAGACAAAGAGTGTATACACTTACTCCATTGTGATAGATTCTGAGCCATGTCTCACAGAATCTCCAATCGCTGATTACGATAGTCGCGCGGTCACAACCAATTGGTCTGCATCTACCAACATGGCACTGACCAGAAATTAGTGACTTGAAGTATTGATGCCACATTTTGGTTTGGTGGCTCCTGACTTTCTTCCATCCGTTCCCAGCACTAGCCAGCATTACACGCCATGGTCGTCGGTAGTTAGGCATGCGAAATACGTGGCCCAACCATCTCGGTCGATGAGAATTTACAATCATCAACTGATTTACCACCATCCCATAACACCATGTGTCTAGCCTCACTATTACCCGATGATCCCAAAAAATGCGAGCAATATTTCGAAAACATCTGTGGTCAAATACAAGTGATTAACGAGTAAAGTAAAACAACGAACTGCTACGCAGTAGACTCGTCCTTTTATAGATAGACGGATATCTCGCCTTTGCCAAAGGTGACGTAAGTTGGCAAAAGCCAAACGAGCTTTTCGAATCCCTGCTGAGATTTCGTCCGATACCAATCCATTAGGGCTGATCAGACTCCCAAGATAAGTGAAGTTGTCAACGCGTTCGACTATTTCACTCCCTATCCTTAGTTCAGGTGTTGGCGCAGGCCAGTCCTGAAGCAACGACTTGCATTTAGAGGGAAGGAAGCGCATTCCAAACATTCTGGCATTGTTGCTTAGTGCTACCAGAAGACTCTGCATTTTGTCAGCGTCTTCACTAAACAGGACCATGTCATTTGCGTATTCTAAGTCGATAAGTGGACCTCCCGGAAGGAGATCAATACTTGAGAATGTTATCTCCATCAATAGGTCTATGATGAAGTTAAACAAAAATGGAGAAATTGGGCAGCCTTGACGGACACCACTTGAGGTTGCAAAACTAGATGACAGTTCGCCATAAGCCCTGACTCGACTAGTAGTGTTCGAGTAAAGAGCCTTTACAAGGTTTATGTACTTCTGGGGTACGCCTTTCAATGACAGACACTGCCACATAATCTCGCGGTCTACCGAGTCAAATGCTGCTTTTAAGTCAAGAAAGACCACCGTCGTCGGACGCCGATAGGTATGCCTGTGTTCTAGAACCTGACGAATGGTGAATGTGTGGTCGATGCAGCCACGACCAGGCCTGAAGCCAGCTTGATTCTCTCGTGTTTGCAGTTCACGAGTCTTAGTTAGACGTTTGATAATTATCGAGGCTAGTATTTTAGATACGATATTTGTTAAACTAATCCCTCTGTGGTTGTCACAGGATGATTTTGACCCTTTCTTATATATTGGGACGATAAGTGATTGCCACCAGTCAGATGGGATAACGTCTAATTCCCAGATCCTAGCTAAAATATTAGTCAACCTAATCGCTAAAATTGGACCACCATCCTTAAAGACCTCTGGAGCCAATCCATCTGGGCCAGCTGCCCTTCCTCGTTTCAGATTAACTATAGCCTTTTGAACTTCAGCAAGAGTTGGGGGACCTACTTCAATGTTCCATTCACTTTGTCTGGGAATGGTGGGTAGTTGCAGAGTAGCTGAAGGCCAACCGAACTGTTCTCTGAAATGTTCCACCCATCGTTCTAAACGTCTGGACTGGGAGCAGATGAGAGTATCGCCTTTTTCCGAAATAATCTCACTTACACTTGACTTATTAATTCCAGTTTCTTTTATTAGTCTGTAAAGCTGTCTTGTGTTCCCTATAGTCGCCGCCTTTGCCATCTCTTTTGCTTTCGTGACCCACCACTGCTCACGGTCGTTTCTTAGACTTAACCTAGATCTGATTTCTTTACGCTCTTCATCATGTTCAGAACCTGGTGGGACGAGTTTGCGAGAATCCATCAGTGTGATAAACCTTGAAGAAATCCACTGGTTCTTTGTAACTCTGTGGTTTAAGTCACTAACAGATATCACTGCTGTTTCCACAGCTGATTGTACGCCTTTCCAAGCAACATCTGGTTCAGCCTCGTCTTCAGAACTACCTAAGTGTGACCTCAGTTGTTTCTGGAACCTACTTTTGGTTTTCCCGTTACTCAACTCAGTTCTAACGGGTCTTTTTAATGTGGCTTTTTTGCGTCCAGTGAGGCGTAAGCAGATGCGTGCCCGTATTAGAGAGTGATCGGAGTCCAAGCAGGTACTCCGGAATTAGCGACAATCTTCTACCGACCCTCTCCAACGATGACTGATGGCAATATGGTCTATTTGAGTCCATCGTTGGTTAGGTGTAGGGGGTCGCCATGTTAGACGATGTCTCTCCTTATGCTTAAAATTTGCGTTTGCTAAAAATAAACGATTGTCTAAGCATAGTTGCAGCAGACGATCACCATTATCTGTTCGCTGTGTCGTAATACTAATATATCCACCTAAATGCCTTTCTGTTTGGTTTAAACTGCCTATCTGAACATTAAAGTCACCCCCTACGGGTACTATATCTGAGCGTTTAGCTTTCTGAAGAAGTTCGGACAGCTTTCTGTAAAATTCATCTTTCACTTCATCTGAGCTGCAGTCAGTGGGAGCGTAGGCAGAAACGACAAAAAGGCAATGACGTGTGTCCCTATCTTTTCGAGTTCCTACGGAGCCGTTTAGCCGAACAGCCATGTTTCGCTGCCGTAAAGTAAAACAGAACGAACTGCCGTGCAGTATACTCGTCCTTTTATAGATAGACGGATATCTCGCCTTTGCCAAAGGTGACGTAAGTTGGCAAAAGCCAAACGAGCTTTTCGAATCCCTGCTGAGATTTCGTCCGATACCAATCCATTAGGGCTGATCAGACTCCCAAGATAAGTGAAGTTGTCAACGCGTTCGACTATTTCACTCCCTATCCTTAGTTCAGGTGTTGGCGCAGGCCAGTCCTGAAGCAACGACTTGCATTTAGAGGGAAGGAAGCGCATTCCAAACATTCTGGCATTGTTGCTTAGTGCTACCAGAAGACTCTGCATTTTGTCAGCGTCTTCGCTAAACAGGACTATGTCATTTGCGTATTCTAAGTCAGTGAGTAGTCATTCTGATAGGAAATCAATGCCCGAAAATTCAGTTGATGAGAGCGTTATTTCCATCAATAGTTTTATGATGAAGTTAAACAAAAATGGAGAAAGTGGACAACCTAGGCCCAAACCACTTGAGGTTGCCCTGACTCGACTGGTAATGTCCGAATAAAGAGCTTTCATAAGGCTTATGTACTTCTGAAGTACATCTTTCAATGACAGGCACTGCCACAGAACCTCTCGGTCTTCAGGGTCAAGTCAACAAGGACCACCATTGTCGGACACCGATAAGTATGCCTGTGTTATAAAACCTGATGAATGGTGAATATGTGGTCTGTACAGCCACGACCAGGTCTAAAGCGAGCCTGGTTTTCTTATGTTTGCAGTTCACAAGTCTTTGTTGAGGCTAGTATTTTAGATGCTATGTTAGTCAAACTAATCCCTCTATGGTTGTCACAGGATTTTTTTGACCCCTTCCCTTATATTTCGACAATCAGTCAGATGGGATAACGTCCAACTCCTAGATTTTAGCTAAAATATTAGTCAACCTAATCGTTAAAACTGAATCACCATCTTTAAAGACATCTGCAGTCTCCATCTGGACCAGCTGCTCTTCCTCTTTTCAGATTAGCTATTGCTTTTTGAACTTCAATCCGAGTCGAGGACCTGTCCGAATGGTTGTTTGGAAATGGTAGGTAATTGCAGAGTAGCTGAAGGCCGACTGAACTGCTCCTTAAAGTGTTACGCCTGTCGTCCTACACGTCTGGACTGTGGGTAGATAAGTGTCGTCTTTTTGCGAGATAGTCTCACACTTGACTTCTTAATTCCAGTTTCTTTTATTAGTTCAAAAAGCTGTCTTGTGTTACCTACAACTGCTGTCTTTTCCATCTCTTTCATTGCCCACCACAGATCGCGGTCGTTCCCTAGATTTTTGGTTAACCTAGATCTGATTTGTTTTCGCTCTTCAGCGTGTTCGGAGCATGATGGGACGAGTTTACGAAAGTCTCTCTGTGCAATAGATGTAGCGAAAATCCACTGGTTGTTCGTGACCCTTTGCTTCAAATCACCAATAGATGTTGCTGCTGTTTCTACAGCTGTTCGTATGTCTTTCCAAGCAACATCTGGTTCAGCCTCGTTTTCAGAACTACCTAAGTGTGACCTCAGTTGTTCCTGGAACCTACTTTTGGTTTTCTCGTCACTCAATTCAATTCTAATGGGTCTTTTTAGTGTGGCTTCTTTGCGTCCAGTGAGGCGCAAGCAGATGCATGCCTGTA